CCAGCCGGCAAGGCCGGAGCCCAGCATGGAGCCAGCCGGCAAGGCTGGAGCCCAGCGCGGAGCCAGCCGGCAAGGCCGGAGCCCAGCGTGGAACCAGCCGGCAAGGCCGGAGCCCAGCGCGGAGCCAGCCGGCAAGGCCGGAGCCAGCACCGGAGCGCAGAGCGGGCCGCAGCAGGCTCCGGTCTGCGCCCTGAACAGCCACCCGCACAAGCCCTGGAGCCTTCTGAAATCCCCAGAAAAGGGAGCTTCGTTCCCCACCCTGTCCTCGTTTCTTAGTTTTATTATGTATGGAGCTAAACTATTCAGGACCTCTATGTTAAAAAAAAAAAGAAAACACAAAGATTTACAACTAAACTAGTTTTAAATCTTCTGTTGGATACAAGCCAAATCTATCCATAAGATTGATACAGCGACGTAATTGCAAGTCACTGAAGGAATTTTGAGGCACTGCACTCTCCAGCCCCTCACCAGGACCRAAGGTCCCTCAAAGGGGGCACAGTAGCGAGGAAGGGCCTAACCTGCAACGCGCAGCGATGCTGCGGGAAGAAGGCGCCTCAGCTGCCAGTGCCAGCGCCCGGGACCACGGCGAGACACGGACACTGTCCCTGCCAGGGCACGRCCACCTCCAGGGCTACGACAGCAACTCTGGCAAATGTTAAGGGCTCTCGACCTCCCCAAGAAGGGTTTTCTTATTTTTAAGATGCAAAGAAAGAGCGATCCATCGTCCACATGCCTGAGTGCCCTTGTGAACGCCAGCACAAGCTTCTGGAGACCCAGGAGGACCAGGAGGGATGCCAGACTCCCCAGCAGAGCAGGGCACCAGCAGCCTGCACCGCAGGGCAGCCAGCTGCAAAGCAGCCTCCTAGAGAGCTCAAGGGGCTTCAGAAACACCACAGCAGTACCGGCTTTATGGGCAGGTAGCTGGCAGAGAAAAGAAGACTAACTGCTGAGTTGCCTCTCAAGGAAGCGTAGGTTTTCTACTTTGGCATAACTGGAAATGAAATGCTATTCCATAAAGTGTATTTCTTTTATATAGATTTATTAGAAGAGAGGTTATGGCTTGATTATTCCCACAGATAACAACTGCAAACACGGTCTTTCCCTGTCAGGACACCAGGCTGAAATGTTGAAAATGAAAATCTCTTTCAAGCTGAGTTTTTTTATTTGTTTTGGTTGAAGACCTCAGCTAAAGCAGTCTAACCATTTCCTTAAGACTCTTTCTCGGAAAAAATTACTTTGTCTGTGTTACATATCCCAGCAATTTCTTTTTTTTTTTTCAGAAAAAAGTACTTCCACCATTCCTTGATTTGTGGCAGGAACCTGAGCTCTAGCTGTGGCATATCCTTGCCAACTGAATGCCAAAGCAAAGTAACCCTTTGTAAGGAGACAAGAGCATCTTAATTTGCACATCCTAGGAGAGGCTTCATATATTTTATTACCTAGATGCTTTGAAGACTTCACCAAATATGTTTTTGCTTGAGGATGAGCAGGTCTTTCCTGTAAATGAACCTCTGGTCTCAGACTGAGGTCGTAAGGGGACACTTTTAAGGCTTAGGCAGCCTGAATACAGGAGGTGACCATTTCAAAACAGCAAAATGTTTTGGTCCAGAAAGCAGCCCAGAAGGCCACTGAGAAAACAAATTTGTGACTGGAAAAGGCGCTGAGGCCAGAAGAATGAGGAGGCTACAGCTAGCGGAGGCTGGGAGCAGGGGAACACGGAGGAGCAGGATCAGATGCACACAATGCTGCAGAGTGAGAGGGGAGAGTGATGCCAAATCCGAGGGGAGTAAACGGGAGCAGCTGCTCTGGGAGAGAGCCAGCAGAAGGAGGCCAAGGCTGAATCGGGACTCACTCTGCCACCAGACTGCACACTAACAACGAGGGGATAAGGCAYGGGAGAGGGAGAGCGATCAGCCCTCGGCTCAGCATGCAGGGCCAAGTGTGACAAGGAGCTGGGTTAGGAGAACTGCCCTGGATTAAGAAGCTCCAAGAGAAAAAGGGGGATTAAGAACAATAAAGAGAGAGCGATGTATGAGCAGAGAGACGGGAGTGAGAATGGCAGCTAGCAAACAGAGCAAAGGACAGATCAGAAAGGAGGAGGGAGAACTGGCTCTTACAGAGACTGGAGTAAGAAACCTGAGAAAGGGAACCTGACACCTGCTAGATGACAGTCAGAGTGGAGAAGATACAGGACAAGGGCAGCCTGAAGAAGAAGAAACAGAAGGGAAAAGCATAATGAAACAGAGAGGAGTCTTTGTACTCACCAGATCATACTCTGCCTGGAGTGAAATGAAAGATTCACGAGTTTTACCATTCCTCTGCTATTAATTAAATCTGCCTGGGAAACTCACAAGTGAAGTATCCCATCTCCCAGCAGCTCCAGCCCACACACTGGCCTGTGATTTGTTAGTGCCCCGTTACCCCATGGGGAGGCTCTGGCTTGGAATAATGCAGGTGGACACAGGGCCACATGACAAGGGACATCTTGGGATAGAATGTGAAATAAAACCAAAGGCGGTGAGTGCAGCCTTGGAACTTGCACACAAAAAGCTATGCCAGGAAAGAAAAACCCCAAAGGTTGCAATGTCATGTCCACTGTTAGGAAATGCCAACTTAATTTAGCCTTCTTATTTTAGCCTTCTTATATATATATTTAACATGCCTTTAATAATATGATCATACAAAGATTTGCTTTTTATTTTTTTTTTCCCACAGGACTGCCTCTTCATTGCATGGAACTGCTCTTGGGAATCAGCCAGACTCTCCTCTTGGGGCTCCTATCCCATTTGTTGAGGAAGCCAGAAGGATGTGGAGTTAATAAAGAACATAACTTCTGAAGAAAAAACATTATCTTAATACTGATACCTATATTTAGAATAGGGAAAATGCTCCCTACTGAACTAATTCAAATCAAGCACCTCAACTTATTGGGCACATGCACTATAATTTAATTTCTATTAATGCAACATTTAGAAGGCCAGCTTAGGGACCCGAAACACATTACTCAACACAATATAAAAGCAGAATTGATGATCCTGTCTCTCAGATGTCTTGAAAAAATAAGATTGTTTGCAAACAACTAGGCATCACAGCGATGGACATCACAGAATATTTCACACAAGAGGGAGTAATACGCAGTATGTAACATATGTTGTATAAGATATAACTAAGGACCTGCCATCCACACTGTGGTATGAGCACCATTGCACCACAGCAATAATTTCATTAAAAAGCATTTTTTAGCGTTCCAACAGGGGGGGATTTCACGCTAGGAGGTGCACCTCAGTCATTCAGAAACGCCAGTACCTTTTTCAAATATGGTAAAATTCAAAAGACAGCCTGAAATAGCAGGGAAAGCAAGTAGGCTGCTGTAGAAGAGGCAGGATAACAAACAGGATGTTTCAACCATATGCCAGTCAGGAGGAACCACCCTGAATCCTCCTTGCTATGAGACTTTCTTTTGGATGAAACATGATAGCAGAAGTGAATTACAGTGGACTGGAATCACAGGCCATTATTCATTCCGACCTGGGATCTGCCTCCATGAGAAACTTTCACTCTTAAAAAATGCCAACTCACCAGCCTCAGGCTCCCGGCTGGAAATAATTTAAAACACACAGTATTTTTCATTAGTTGTGATGACACGGCTCAAATGGCACTGCTCTCTACCTTCCCCTTGCAGCTCAAAGGCAAGCACTTGTGGAGAAATGCATGACCCAAACCCTTCCCTCTACTTTAATTCCTAGACTTTTAATAATAGCAAYGTTATGAGGAAGGTTTCACTTGCAACCAGCCATCCTGTCTCTACAACACGTGTTCACATGAGGTGGGCAATAGAGTCTTACAAGTAAATGCACTCACAGGACTCTAATCCCTTTCTCTGATCGCTCCCATAAGAGGATACCAAACCATTAGTTTGCCTATGGATTTTAAAAAATTAAAGCAGCTACTCAAAGACTCTACGAAATGACACTGCAGAGGGAGAAGGAAGGTTCTGCTGTGAGTGAGAATTATTAGCAGATGATTCTACAAATACTTTGTCTTGAAATCATTCCTTGGCCTATCCATAGCAGCGCATTCCTGAAAGATGAAACATCTTTCAGGTTACTTCCAACCTTTCAACCAGGTGTGTATTTTTCATAGGAAGCAGATGGCCACTTTTCACGCTGGAGCCAAACTTCAGTTGCTGGAGTTGCATTCCACAAAATGCTCTTCTGTACTTCAAGCAGATTCTTTTCATTACATGCTTCATCTTGCCCCAAAGCTCTACTGCACACTTCTTATCTGCTGCCATTTTTCACCCTTTATATCACCACACAACAAACTTGTGAAGTACCTTAGAATTATTCAGTGCCACATGCTTTGAATAAACACAAAACCCAGTTGCACTGGGGTTGTTCTTACCTGCATCGATGGCACATGGGTAATGGTATCGGAAGGAGCAGCCTTTGTTGTAGCAGCCTAAGGTGGCTCCTGGTTCCTGGCAATGGGAACATTTCTGAAAGGGAAACCCGACAAATAACCGTGAGTACTGTAATGATCCTTCCAAATACCCGCATTTTCCTGGAAAATGTGTCACCCTGGAAAATTTATCATCTAGGTTTCAGCACAGATTTCTTGAGTTTCAGAAGGGTAGGCTAAAATCTTCACACACCATAGAGAGAAGCATTTTCAATAAAGGCAACACAAGCTTTTCAGCTGCACTGACTGGTAAAGCGCAGCCATGAAACAGAACTTGGAACATACCTCAAATCCGTTCCACCGGCCCATGCTTCAGTACCTGATGACGACATCAGTGTCACAATTGGAGGAAAAGAACTTTTATGAATCTACAACAGCTTTAAAATGAGAATGAGCATGACAGGGAATAATTTAGAAGACATCATTAGTATAAAACTAATTTGGTTGCATCATTTTCACCATCACTAGTACTCTAGGAAGATCAAGGCTAAGCTGAACATTATTTTTTCACATGAGATCAAAAATGGTTTACTGAGAGCAAGGAAAGATCAGGGGAAACTACCTCGCTGTCAAAAAAATGGCTCATCTCCAAAAGAAATGCCTGCGGTGCTATAAAGATGCTCCTACATTTCTTTTCAAAGTGGTAGGACTTATCTGATGAGCATGTGCAATTTCCATTACATTATTCCTATTATTTCAACTGGTCGAAGAGATTCTTAATCACATTACCAGAGAGATGTGAAGGCAGCAGCGTGAAAGCCGCTCAGTCACTTCCTTCATCAGGAATGACTTTAAAGAAGTGAGCCCACAGCACAACACATTCAAACAGGAACTTTATTTCTTGAATGTAAAAGATAAGCGTTGCCATTAACTAATCCAAGATTTTGAAAAAAGCTGATTTCTCTTTTGTTGGTGGTTTATTTTCTGCTCAAAAGAGAAAGGACGAAGCTCCATGACTGGCAGAATSTACTGAAGGCTAAGAGCCTACCACTACTTGAAGTGCAATAAGGGGACCGACAGGGAAAGAATAGGTGACCTAGGGGAACTTTTTTGSTCACAGCTAAGAAACACCAGTAATTTCAAGCCTGCGTGATTGGCGGCCATCTGGACACAGTCCAGGTGCTTTAGGTGACCCTCTCTGAGCAGGAAGGTTGCACTAGATGGTCTCTGGATCATCTTCCAACCTCAACCATCCTGCGACTCTGTGACACCAGAATAAGCCCTTGTACAACTGCTATAAACCACCCTGAATTCAGCCTATGAAGCAGTTGCCTTTGGGTCACYGATTGCACACAGACAGATGAGGGTATCATCCACAAACTGTTCTTTCTTCCTTATTGGAAGAGCTGGCATCCAACTGTATGTGTTCCACCAACCCAGCAAGCAGGCTGGACCAACATGCTCGGACCAGCAGCGCCCGTGGCACCRCACAAAGCCCGGATTTTCTATAAGCTCACGTGCCAGGATGGCCACATCAGCCAGATGAGGCTTCTTCAAGTCCCTCATTAAAACCTGTGTGGCAGTAGAGGTCTGCAGAATATGTAAAGCCAAGGCAAGAGTCACAGAAATCCCTCAGTTTGCAAAATAAC